CAGAAATTTTCATTACACATGCTTATCATGTGTGCCTTCTCAGACATTAACAGCAATAAATTATTATAAAGTGCACAAGTACCCAAGTCTTAATCATTATCAAAAGGCCAAATTAAGTTTCAATATTTACATGCTAATTTTATCATTTTGAAGGGAAATTGAAGCAGTTTTTGAGAAAATGCAAAGAAAGTGCAAGTTTATTTTCTTCGTGATATGACAACATATTCTTTGGGAAAAAAAGGAAAAAACCAAACAACTAAGCACTGAAAAGCATGATATCTTATTAGTAAGACTGAATTGTGAAATAAAGTCAAGAGAATAAAAGAATGTGCAAGAAGAGCACTAAAGATACAGTGATATGTTTAAAAGAAACATAATTCTTCTAAAAAAACTAATTAGAAGTTCATCAGAACAGTTTTATTGCTGAGGAAAAAAGGACATAAGAAAGAATATACAAGTCACCTAGCTAATGGATTTAATCTTCTCAGCTATGTATATTTTTCATCTCATATTTAAGACTAAACGTGCATATAATTCAGTGTAGTTCAGGTATATGAAATGCATCAGTTATCACTAAGCAAGTATTACAATCCTAAAAAATTCTCTATTTACTTAAACAACTGAAAAATACTTCTAGCATTTACTCTTATTTCCCACACCGAATTTATGATTACTGAAAATTCAGCTGATGATTGCTTTGGAAGCAACAGATACGACACGGACTATCAAGCTCTCAAAAACTAAAGTTGTCATCAACCAATCTTGAAGGGGCAAGAGACTCTTTCCAGTGGTTCTTTCAGCAGAGACTGAAACCAGCAAAGATTCAAGCTGCTGAAAGGATAAAGTTGTTTTACTAAAAAAACCTCCAGCAGTTGAATACTACTTGTCCAATGCTGGGCTACTGTTTGTCCTCCAGTAGTAAATAGAGTTTTAGTTTGTTTGGTGCATGAAGGACTCAACCAGAGTAATAGAGACATCCAGAACACCAATCGAGAATGAAAGTTTAACACTCAGTTTTAAAATATTTCACTATTATTTAAGATATTAAGCCAATGTTACTTGAAAAAAAACAAAAAAATTATGTTCCTGTCTACTGACCATGTTACCTACATACCTATACCTCCATTTGTTGCAGATTCTTTTCTAAAAAGTATGCTTTTGCAAGAAACATTGACCAAAACCAAACCAAAACCAAACCTTAAAACCAGTGAATTTTCAGTAGCAGTCTACATGTAACATACAGCTACACCAAGACTGACAAAAATATATAAGAAGTTTATTCTACATATGATAACAGCCTTATTGCCTCCATTTCAAATAAAAGGTGCAAACTGCTGTTTGTAGCCAATACTGCTTTACACAAAGGAATATTTCAATGATTATTTTTCTTTTCTGATGAACTTCCTTTCTGAAAGCTTGTTCTGGCACTTCTTGTTTGTTTGCCTTCAAAGAATCCATAAACTGTTTCAATGTTCTAAATGAAAATATCTCTGCTCTGCTTTCTAACATTACTAGGACTACTCATCATTAAGGATAGAGTCAAACCTCTGAAGTACTTAATGTCATAAATATATTCAGGATAACACAGAACAAAACCCTATCATAATTTTTTAGTCAGTCTACTAAAACCCAAGACATTATGCTTTTTGCATCTGCATAGTATGAAACATTTAGAACTCCCCACCCCATTCTTTGTCTATTACATTTATCCAGTTATACAAAACAATTCCTATCCAAACATTGAAAAAAACCAAAAACAAACCCAATCAGAGCTAGTAAGCAGAAAGACATAAAAACTGCAAGTGTACTTATGTAATACCCTTCACCTCATGTTAGAATCTATCTGCAATTTTATGGAAGCTCCACTTCCATAAAATTTGCATTTTATCCTTCCTACTACAATCCTAGTATATTAATTCACTTAACGATCGCTAGATGAAAGAAATTTAAGTCTTGAAAAAAAGACCAAAACAAAACGCAGGGGCCACCCACTGCTCCCGAAGTCTCAGTGGGGAGTGAAACCCCCCCAGCCCTGCTACCACCAGGGGGACTCGCAGGGCTCAAACACTGAATAGGGAGGAAATTGAAACACTCCAAGGTATTAGGAAAGTGATTTCTGTAGCGTATTACAAGCAATTGGAGTGCACATGTTTAGCATCCTCTTTTTTTTTTTTCTTCCTTACATGACAAGATAAGATGAAATGCAGGAACAGTTGCCTATTATGTTCCCCCATGATTGCTTTTCTTTTTCAGCTGTGATACTGTAATTCCCTACTGAATCAAAAAAGCACATTTCAACACTTGGCACTGTCAGGCAACAGCCTGTGATTCCCTTTCAAGCTCAGTTCTTTACATGGCAGATAATAAAAAGGGGTAGTAGCAGGAGGCATGTTTCTTAAACTGGTTTTGAGTTACCACCATGGCTTTCATGAGTTATTTACACCTGAAGTAAGAAGTATTTCTTCTATTTAATTTTTTTTCAATGGCAACTATGGCAATATATTAAGACCTTCTTCCATTTCTAAAGACTATCTGCCTGTCACCACAGGTTACCAATTATTATGTGCCATTCAGAGTTACATACATGGCAAACAAAACATTAGAACTATCAAAAGAAACAATCTCTTCTATAAAGATACTAGTCCCAGTAATGTATCATCTTTTTTTTTTTTTGAAGAGCTGTGAATTCTACTGAGGGTAGGAAATATCATTATCAACTTCAAACAGATTAAAATGACAGTGGTGTCAAAGCTTTATTAACCAGCACCAAGTACATCTTACCTCTCTCCATCAATCAGTTAAAAAAAAAAAAAAAAAACTTATTACCTGTCTCACTTTTTTTTGGCCTAAAGGTGTGGTCTGTAACTAGTTATGTGAGAAATTGGAGCACTCTGACCCACTAGAAATGTTCTGCAAGGCTGGCCTAACAGAAGCAGCAGCCAAAGAGCATAGGCATTTTGAGAAGAAAAGAAACACGTAAACCTTAGATGAGAGATGAATGTGTTGCATAAAAATAATTTCCAGTAACCCAAACAAGGTAGGTTAATAATCAGCCTCCACTTCAATTATGAGTGAGCGTACTATTTCAATATGAATACTTTTATTTTGAGAAGAAACTTTTCCCTCTAGTCCTAAAGGGCACAGTCCCTCAATAGATAAATAGTTCCTATTAGTAATAAAAAAAAAAAAAGAAAAAGGCTTCGAGTTCAACTAATCACAGCAGCTCAGACAACTTACATAACGAGTAGATACAGGGAAAAGGATTACTTATGTAGACACTACAGTATGGTAAAATACAAGGTTTCACATCCTCTAGCCAAGGCTAACCAGAAATTAATAGTAAGCCAGACATTAAGCTGTCTTACCAGGCAAGGCAGAACACCTCGCCCTTTCACAACCAGAACTATCTGCCTTTAGCTATTAATAGCCTACAAATACATGTCATTTCCTCATGAAAAAACACTGATTTCATTCTTAAAAGTCCAAATCTACTGTGCCAATTTATCTAGGTACCTCTACATTTTTATTTGGAAAAGAAAGGTCAAAGAAGAAAGCACTGCTCTTTTCATAGTTAAAGCCTTTTCTAGTAAGGGAATTTAAAAAAAAAAAAAAAAAAAAGAAAATTATACATTTTTAGACTTTCTGTGCTAACTTGTAGGGTTACATGCATTCATTCTAACAATTCCAACCATAAAGAAGCAAGTGTTCAAGCTAATTCCCTTCCCCCCCCCCCCCAAGACAGTTGTCTGCTGTGAATCTAAAAACACATCATTCACAATAGGATTTCATTAAGTATTTGTCATTCTCTCCTTTAATGTTTTTGTAGTTCTGGCAGTTATTTTACATCTACAGAAGTACCCTGCAGAAATGCACAAAGATTTTTTTAGCTTTCCTTATTTTTCTTGCAACTCAGTAGTTTAGCTTTGCTACTTTTTATGACCTACAGATTCTTGACTTTCGGTCGAAAGTGCAAGTTAAGCATCTCCTCTAGCCTGAAAATGCCCCTCTCATGAGAGCAGCCTTTTAGTGGAGCATACAAAGCCTCGGATGCAAATCTAAAGCAGGTGCATCGTAGAAAATTACTCAGACAGTAAGCTGTTCCCACAGTTTCAATGTGACAAATTAACACACAAAAAGCCACCATACACTAGACTTTTTTTTTCCCCCCCTCTTTCGACCCGTCTACAGCATTTGGGTTTCTTTGGCAAATAAACGCATCTCATGGAATACCGGAGGGTTAAAGGTGGGGGTTCAGCCCTAAACGATCGGAACTGGCCAAGCCGTTCCCGGCTCCGACCACTCGCTCCCCGCAGAGACACCTGAGCAGTGCGGGAGCGGTGAGGGGGGAGCGGGCAGTCACCGCGGCACCACCCGCGGGACCCGCTCCGGCGGGGCGAGTGCAGCCACCGCGCGGAGCCCTCACCTCAGATGCCTCCCAATCTAGGTCAGCCGGCTGCGCCGCGCTGCCGGCACCGCTCCCTGCTTCCCCCGCCTCGACCCTCTGCGCCCTGGCACTCCCTTGTTTTTTTTGGGGGGGAAACAGCCCTAAAAACAGTAACAACCCCGCCAGCACCTCGCGGCACCCCCTCTCCCGGGCGCCCCTGCCCCGCACGGCGCCGCCGGCCACCCCCGCCGGGCCTCCACGGCAGGACGGCGCGGCCCCGGGAAGCCCGTCGCTCCCACCGTCCTCCCCGCCTCGTCCCCCGCCTGCCCGCGAGGCCGCTTACATTTTCTGCACAGGTTTCCGCCGCTTGCGACTGGCGTAGGTGACATTGGGGTTCATCCTGCCGCGGCTGTAGCGCCCCGCGCCGCGGGCGCCGCGGGCACCGCCGGCCGGGGGCCGCCGCCCCTCCCGCCCGCCTCGCCCCGGCTGCCGAGAGCGGGCGAGCCCCACCGGCGCCGCAGCGCTCGCCTCGCTTCGCCCGCGGGCCCCGGTCCTGCTGCCCGCGGCCGCTCGGAGCGCGATCGCTCGCTCGCTCACTCGCTCGCGGTGGCGGTGGCGCCTTCCCCGGCCGGGCGAGGACGGGAGGCGGAGGCGCTGCGGGGCGGGATCCCAGGTGATCGGCGGCGGCTACACCCACTCACCGCCCCCGGAGGGCACAGGTACGGGGGCGGTCGGGGCTTTCCAGCGCCGCTCGCCCCGCGTCTCCTCACTGAGGCGATGCTGGTTCCCTCTGCAGCGGCGGGAGGGTGCGCGGCCGGCTCTGCACCCCAGCGCGGCCGCCGTCTGCTGGCCGAGCGCCTGTCAGTGTGCGCGGCGCCGGGACCGCCCCGCCCGGCCCGGCCCTGCCCCGCGCCCGCTCCCGGCCGGGTCCCGCCCCGCCCGGCTGACAGCGCCACCGCCCCCTCGCCGGGGAGGCCCCTCGCGGCGGCGGCGGGGCGGAGGGAGGAGGGGGCGGCCGAGCCGCCATGTTGGGAAGGTCACGCGAGGAGAGGGAGCACCGGGCGGCAGCGGGGGGAGACCTAAGAGGGCTCCAGGATGGGGATGGGGTGGGGAGAGGGAAAACCCCCGACCTTCTGGTGGCCGGGGAGGAGTGCGGGGGGGCTCCCGCTTCCAGTGAGAAGGAAGGTCATCCCCGAGCGGTCGCGTAGCCCCAATAACAGAAAATAATCGTGGCAAAAAAAAAAAAATGAAATCACAGCGTTCAGGTTGAAAGACAAATGACACCAGCTCAGCGGCACGGCAAGGCCCATGTCTGTCACTCCTCCGCCCCCTTTTTCCCCCGTCCTTACTTCCCCGGGCTGACACCGTCACAGCCGCAGGTCGTCCGGCAGAAAAACCCGAAATAACACGCGACTGCCCAAAATAGGGGGTTGCTGGGGAGAAGCGGAAAGGCACCGGGCTCCACCGAGGACAAGGACAGCAGGACACCTGGGGACAGAATGGGAGTCACTGGGGGCAAGGCTGCCCCCTCGTCAAGCACCGGAGGACCGGCGGGGCTCGCTGACCGAGGGCGCTGCTCATCTCTCATTAGGGGATGAATCCCTGGGTTATTACACTGGCATTTTCAGCTAAACACTTGTTTTAAAGGAAAGGAGCAGCATCGTAAAGAGTTACTCCCGAACTGCTGGCAAGGAACACCATCCGAGGAAAGCCCGGTGCCGCTCTGACCCGCCGCCGCTTCCCCCCCGCCCCGGTCTCTTTCGCCTCCGCCGCCGCAGAAGCATAAGAACTCTTCCCTCCCCCAGAATAACCGCAATACATTTTGTCTCAGAGCTAAACTTGAGAGCTTGGGAGTCGCCCTGTGTAAACACGGGCTGTTCGCGGTCACGGCTGAGACGACAGCCAGGAGGAGCTCCCCTTTTCCTCCCCTTTCGACGCACCCGCGCCCCGCGGGGACGGCCCTGCACCGCCGCCGGAGCGCGACCGCAGCTGTGGGCTCGGCCCCGGCCCCGCGGTCCGGTCCCCCCTGCAGCCACCGCACCCAGCGGGCGGGAGGCTGGGGCAGTGTCCGTGGTGCTGGCCTGGCTGCCCGTCCGCAGGGTCTGGCCGGGCTGTCAGCATCGCACCAGCGGCAAGAGGCTTGCCCCTTCCCTCGCTGGTTGCTGGAGCCTCGATTACACAAGCGTTTCTCCTCCGCTCTGCCGACGGAGGCGATAACTGAGGCCCCGGTATTACCGTACGGTAAAAACGTGGGGGTGTGCAAAGCTGGCCCTCAGACACAGCGGCTTTCGCTGGGGCGGCGTTCGGGGATCCCGGGGGTCTCTCCGGGACAGGTCATCCGCGGGCGCTCGCACCGGGCATTAAGCAAGCGCAACGCGCGCTTCCTTACCAGCTATATTGCTCGGCTTTAGTCTCCTGGGATGCTATCCCAGAGCCGAAGTACTCTGAAGTCACAATATGCAGATAAAGTTAAAACTACCTAAGCCTTAACGATGCTAGTGGGGCTTGTCAAGTGCCAGGGGTTTGTCAAATTATGTTTTGAAAAAATATGTCTTCAGCAAACAAAAGTTTTGAAAAAATATAGTAAGATGACTTTATGCCTTACGAGGTCAGTGCTTTGCAGTTATATTCCTGCCACATTCCCAACCAAACATCTTTGCAGAGGATGCCAACTCTTTGCTAGCTGCTATCTCTCCTCAGTCCCTTTCCTCTTCACTCTTGGTTCTCTTCACAAGATCCTACCAGCATCCTAGAAAATCAGGCAGGCAATACTGTACGTCTTACTTTCTTTTCTCCAGTCCCTTTCTTCTTTTGACTTTAGGGCTGAAACTGGAAATTCATGCACTTTCTTCACTCCAAACACATCCATCTATTCAAGCACTTAGTTTCTTCCAGCCTACACTTCCCTGTTGCTTTCAGTACTCTTTTCAGCCCTAGCCTCTCCCTACTCACTGGTTTCTTTCTCTGTCATCACAAGTATGTTGTGATCACTCCATACAACATAAAATGCTGCTCTGGTTTCATTCTTCTCTTCACCCACATTATCTTTGTGTTGAAAGCTTACAGTCACTGTTCAAGACTCCTCTCCTTCTAATTTTAAATTTAATTTCTTTCACACTGTCTTTTATTTCCTCACTTTGATATTGAACAAAGTCTCTAGTGACTTCTTATTCTTCACTGGACTTAAAGATCCCAACTGTTCCATGATCTTTTGTGCTACTTAGGTAGCAGAAAAACACCTGTATGTATGCTGTCTTATTTGCCAGCTCCAAAGGTACTGGGGGTTACATGAAAAAGGCAGTAGGCTTTAGCTTCCCATAATAGATTTCATCTCCAGTTCCCCTCTGGGGCCATGGGACTTGCATGGTTCCAGTGAGGTACTGTGGTTAGTCTTCAACTCCCTGATTTGGAAATAGGGAGTAAGGTAAATTCATGCTGCTAGGCAGATACTGCATCCTCTGTGCATTGGCAGTCCACTGCCTGCTGTTAGAAATCCATTCCTATGGATCAACCACTCTTAACAACAAATAGGAGATTTCAGATGTTCAGCGCACAAAGAACCACAGAATGCACAGAGAATGTCTTTATGTGTCACTGGGGCCTTTTAGATATTTACCTAAAAATTTCTGTATCACATTATCCACAACTTTTGCAAATCTGTTCTCATCCGATGTTCTTGCTGTCTCTTTGCCTAATGCATTGTCTCAGTATTTTCTATTTGGTAATTTGGGTACAGTAGACATCTTGCTTCATATTCAGTGTAAAACAAGCACAAACTGCAATCTTAGAACCTTTGCTGCAATATAAGATTTTTGTTGGACTTTTTCTTTTTTGGACTAATATTTTGTCAGGTTTAACAACATGTTTGGTCTTGCAAAGGATGACTATGGTCGATGTCATGTGGACAGATCACTTTCATGTGTATTTTACAGCTCTCGTCTCTTCTCACTGTTTCTCCAGGCTACTATTCAGGTGGTTTACTATGTCTAAAGAACATAAAATAAATTCTATCAAACCAATAGCAACCACTTTTCTCCTCATGCTCAAACCCAGCATTTTTTCCCTTCCAGTCATGAATTATGATGCCATCCAAGGATGAGATTTTTAGGAAAAATGTGTTTGTGCACCTAGTGAACTGTAGCTTTACCTGTCCCCAGCATGTGTGAGGTCCAGTAGCCTTTGTGGTTATTATCCTCTGAAGCTTCCAGAGCTCTTACTTGTCAGCAGTCACTCCTGCTGCCCTAACTCCAAAATGAGCAATACACTTTCGTTCCACACAACTCCATGTCCTGTCCCATTTCTGCTTCTCCTGCCCTGAAAAGTCCCCTCCTAAGATCTGTTTCCTGGCTCTGCACTCATTTCACAAGGCAGGGACTGTTTGGAAGAGGGAGGACTTTTATTAAATTGACAGAAATTCCTGAGTGGGCTGTAGTTTCACAGGGTCAGTATGAGACCAACAAAAATCTTGTCATTTGGGAGGAATTTATAAGAATTATAAACACTGCTTGTTATCTTAGGGTCATCTCTGACTCATTTCTAGCTTTTATCCTACTCTTTCTGTCTGTGTCCAAAATTTTACTTCCCTCAGCTTAATTCTATGTGCTGACTTCTAGATGGTTGCAGTGCAAATAACACAGAAGAAATCTCGTTTGGTTATCTGTGACTTCTTTTCTGCTTCCTTTTCTGCTTCTGGAGACAAGGAAAGAGGATTGTGATTTAAAGCTGTTATTTATGCATATCAGATTTTGGGGATATACAGAACTACTGTTGATTTAGCTGTTATTTTCCTTGTTCTGCTAAGAAAGAATATCTCTGGCAATTCAGAGGAGCTGCTACTCTTCCTGCTCATTTCAGGGAAGTAGTCATCTATGGAAGTTGAATCAGAGTCAGTGAATTGCCTACATACTTATTCTTTGGTGACTGGGAAGGTCACATAAACATATCACTGAGAGAAACAAGGATTATTGAGGGAAATTCTACCCCAATTTTTAAGACTAAAGAAGAAATAATTATACAGGGAAAAAAGAAATTCAGCAGTGTGGCTAATAGTACAGAAGCCTCATTTGAAGGTACTAATTGAACTGTGTACAGTTTTAATCAGATTGACAAGAAACTTCCCCCTCCCCCACCCTGCTGTTTGTATTTTTGTCAACACGGGACAGAACCAGCATATTCTTTTTCTTTTCTCCCATCCCTGCACCTGGCTCCCCACTCCCACTACCCTTTGCAGGTGCTTTAAAATCACACCCAGTTTCTATTGAGTTTCTATTGAGCTTGGGGAGCATTTTGAGAAGTGGAAGAGCCATATAAAGGATGAAAAATATGAAGCACAATTAGTATTTGGGCAAATAGACTATAATCCTCACATAATGGTTAGTGCTGAAAGGTCTTCATTAATAATGGTATTTTAATTATTTTAAATTCATTGACTTGCACTAATCCAATGAAATCTAGAGTCTTAATTGTTCCAACAGAGCCGAGGAAAAAATTCTTATGGAGACAAAAAAAACACATTTAGAGACTGTGCTCAAGATTTTTTCATGTGAAGAAAGTTTAAGAAATTAGTAAGCATTATCTGTAAGGTAGGATCATGATTCTGCTCAGATCTTATGATGTGTAAAGCAAAAAGCATATTTTACCTGTAAGCATAGGAATAAAGTAACAATATTATTATGGAGTACGTATAAAAGTCAGTACATTGCTTAATATTCTCAGTTTT